ACCTCGTTTAACAAATTTCTTACTTAGCCACATAAATTCTGTGCTCAATTGTGATCATAGGTTGAGGACCACTTATACAGGTAAGTCATTGGTTAAGGAATGGAATCTGGATCAAAACTCCCATTACTAAGTGATGCGGTCGTAAAACGTGACATCGCATAAGTCAAGATCAATGTTGGGAAGGTGCCAGCGCTTTACCTGCTGTCCATTAATAAAGAAAAACAACAGAGAAAAACGCAGAGAGAATTTAAAGACAGACCAGGGTTTGAAAGAGTAAAAATATTGTTGTATACTACTGTATGTAGTAGTAGTAGGCAAAATAACACAATTCACAGAAACTCGATCCTCAACACGAACGGTTGCCTTTGGCAACCAGCACCTCCCACACCTTCTTTTTATTATTCAGCCAAGGCCTGGCTTCCAAATGCCTTCTCCTTTGCCTTTGGAGACACCCCATTGCGTTCCTCTGTCCTCTCTTTTCTTGCGGCATCCTGGATATCTCCCAGCTGTGATTCATCACTGTTCAACTCAGACTCCCAGCACAGCTGTGTCTCAGCCTGAGCCTTCCTCTGACTCTGATGTCACTCCAGGCCACTCTTCCTCCTCTGATTCCTCAGACTCAGCTGCCGGGTCCACTGGCTGGCGAGGAATCACAATACATGGTTAATAGCACCCTTATTATACACCAAGCTGGTCTTTCATAGTATCAGGGCTTGAATAATACCTCAGTTCATCAAGCAACCAGTGACCAGGCTCAGGAGTGAATGCCAAACCCTGGATGTCTATGGAGATTTTCAGTCATCCAGATCATGGCTGTCCCAAAGGGGCTTTTTCAGGAAGTAAATGGACTTTGTTTTTCTTTGAAGACATTTCGCTTTTCATCCAAGAAGCTTCTTCAGCTCTGACTGAATGGTGTGGAATGGAAGTATTTATATTACTTGCAGACAGCTGGTCATTTGAATTCTTTTAGAGAGTCAATGAGGTCACGTGGAGGTTTATCTGTGTCCTAGGGGTGACCTGAGTAGTGTAAATGTGTGTGAAGCCTTCTTGGCTGCAGCTGAATAAACGCATTAAAAGCTTATCAAGGCAAAATAGCTGGATTCTGTTGTTATTCATATACCGAGCCACATCTGAAACGGGCAAACATTGTTGGCCACTGCGGCAGGACAGGTGCTCATTTCTGGGAAGCCCGGGAAAAGAAGGACACCAAACTTGCTCTGAGATTTCCTGGAGGTGATTTCCTTCTTGATTCTCCCCAAGTCCTAAATTTTAGACTAAGTACCCGTATATACTCGAGTATAAGTCGACCCGAATATAAGCCGAGGCACCTAATTTTGCCACAAAGAACTGGGAAAAAATGGTGACTCGCGTATAAGCCGAGGGGGCATTTTTCAGCACACACATTTTTCCGCCTGGGCTAATCGGCCTCTTTGCAACCCCACCCCTCTGGTAACCGC